TATATTTGCTAAACACATTAGCGTCATAGAAGCTTATTAAAAATTACGAAGACTTACATTTGATTTTTAAAGAATGTTACTACCTATTTATAATTTATTTCTTCTTTCATAAATAGCTTTACCTTTGACCTATTGTTAGTTTAGTATTACCTCATTATCAAATTTGTTCATCTATCATTAAATTTTATTAATTTCAGATCATTACCAAAATTTAGTTCAATTTATTATAAACATTTTATCTTTAAATATTGTATATAATTACGAATAGCGTTTCTCTTATTTTTTTCATTTAAAATAAATTCTATCATTTATCGCTATGTTATAAACAAATCACGAATGATCATATTAATAATTATTACAAATTAGACCATTATATAGAAAAGAAATGACAATTATCTTAAATAAAGGAGACCTCCTAAAATCATTTTCCATATTTGTAGGTATCAATCATAATAGCATGGTCTCATACGGATTTTAGAAGCAATATACCCGCACGCTGCACGATGCTATTTATTGTGTTTAAATATTAAAGATAAATGTTACATTTAAAATCATATATAAGTAAAATTGTTCAAGAGATATTTTTTAAAGGGATGTAACATTTATCTTACTAAACATGTGAATGCATACTAGATAAGTATAATAAACAAAATTGTAATGCGATTACATCTTTACAGTGTCAACTCAGCTGTGCAATACAATTGCGGATGAACTTACACGAACAGCAGACAACGTTGTACAACTGTACAAACGTTTAACTATAGACAATGAGGATGATCCATCAAGAGCAACCATCGATAGGGATACCATGTTACGTGGTCTTGAATCTTCTGTCAATGAAACAATGCGTACTTTACGACTAGTCGTGGCAGGCGTTGAAAATCATAATGATGAAACTAGTAATAATGTTGCCCCAAACGAAGTAACTGCGAAGTTTCAAGAATTACTTGCTGGCCAAGATCAAGGCAAGGTAGTGAATATGATGCAACAGTACTCAGAATTGCTCTTAAATATGATGCAACAAAGGATGGGAGGAACACAGTCAAGCCATACATAAAAATAATGAAAAAAAAATCCGTCCATCTGATGATAATTGATGAATGCAAATGGATCATATTCATGTTCGAAGCACGGACGTTTGTGATGAGTGAATAAGTATTTTCTCGGCGATTATAGATCACATTCCTAAGTGCAGGATATGGATATTGTTCTGGAGGAAAAGAAAAAAGACAAGAAAATAATAAATAAAGAGGGATTTCGGTATTTCAGTTGCCAAGATCCTCCTAAGTGCATATCGTAAGCACACATATGTTCCTTTTCCATTTGTCATAGTACATTGTATTCTTTGTGAGTACTTTTTGAATGAATTTAATATAGACTTAGTTCTTAAAACAAAAAAAACAATTGAACTGTCAGCAATACAGCCTTGGGACTTGATAGGAATTAACATGTAATAACTAACTGCTGAACAGTGTTATTAGAAAAGAAAAAACTTGATAGCACAAAATATATTATTTTTGACTAATTCTTAAGCACTATAATGGATCGAACTTGAAGATGAAGAAATATCTTCAACGTCGTTCAATGTAGTACTTGTTATTAATCAATACAAATTGAATATGCTAAGGAAGCAATGTGTGAAAATAACCGGATGAACTCTAAGAAATATCATATGTTATATTCCAGGACATTTATTTATCCTATTTATAAAATCAAATGTATCGAATTTGTGCGTACTTTATCTCGAGGCCATATGCCGGGAAATGCCAATTAACTAAAGACTATTAGAATAGTACCCAACAAACATACATATATGTATATTTATCAAATATTGAATGGTATTATAACGTAATATTAGTATTCTTGTTATGTAACCAAAGGGATTGTCTGTACCTATGGTAAAAAGGGAAATTCTTTTCCTCTCCTAAATGTTTAAAAAAAAGCTTTTAGACAGTCATCAATAAAAAGTATACAGTATAAACTTGCCAGAATAAGAAAATGCCTAGTTACTAAATACTACGTTAAGTATAAACAGGCTTTCTAGATATAGAAAAACGTAGAGTGCAAATATATGATTATATATTTCAAATAATGCTATTTAGAATTATTTAAATGTTCGTTATTTCTTTTTCTTTAAAGTTTATGCATTTTTGTGTTATATTTTTTTTTTTTGTCAAAAATGAAAAAGTTTATAGTTGTTAATATAAAGTTGTACAAAGAAATAGGTGAAATATTTTTATTTTAATTGGTAGAATTAAAAATGAAATTTACAATCGATATTTGCACAAACTACCAATTTGATGTTACCTTATAATAATGGCATATTTTGTCATAGGAATTGACCTATACTTGCATATTTTTCCACGTAAACATATTATTCCTAAGAGTATTTCTCACAGCTCCAAAACATTATAAATTTCAATTAGAATTTGGCAATAGCCTTGTCGAAAATTTTTTATCGATAACATCACGGATATGAAATCATAAGGACCTGCAAACTATACTTAGATTATTGTATCTTACGGAAGTAAATTATTATACATAAATATAAGAGATATGCAAAGAATTTAGAGGACTTCTAATTAAAAATTAATAAATATATGTATTTCAAAATGTAAAACTAAGATTATAAACACAATGTAGTTTTCATATAAATCTCTAATGTGCATTAGTTTAAATCTAGAATATTATTTAATCCATACATTCGTTTTTTTTTTCATAATTCTCCATCATAAAAATTAAAGTCTTTTGAATATTTATATATTTTATGAAAAATATTAAATAAACAGAATAGACAAAATTGCTAAGAGAATAAATATGTTTGCATTTCCTTATGTAGAATTTCGTACAATTTCTGTATGTAGTTCAAGGATAAATTAGACGTCGTCTATATATGAGTATGTATGTATGTGTGAGTAGAAAAGGTTGAATTTCATGGCTAAACCTCTTTGCGAAGCCTTCAACATTGAATAATAATAATAATTAATAAACGATTATTTAATATAATCATATTTGGACGGACGAAACTGTACTATGGAATAATATATCTGAAATGTATAATATTTAACGATTTTAACATTTGCAGAAACATACTATCTTTTTCGTTTACATTGTAAGTTCTTCTCTTGTTTAATATAACATTCTCACGTTGTATGTAATATATAAAAAGTGCCATTTAGGTTAACAAATCTCATTCAACAATACACATAAAAACAGATTCCTATATAATAATATGCTGCTTTTTAATATTATACAATAACAAAAAAGTACTATTTAAATATTTTATATAATCAATTTCTTTGGTAACATCACTGCTAATCAATCATTAGTTTTACATGAAATTTAATTATTTATTTGTTCGAGATTTAATTCATTATTTAAAAATTTAAAATATCTCAACAAATATAGAAAAAGATTTTCAAGAAAAAGTTTATATTCTTTGAAAAAGATAATCACAATCACAAATGAGGGACAAACTAGTATTTATAAAGTTTTTTAACTCGTATCAGCATTTTGTAATATGTATTGCTAGAAAATGAGACCATAAGCATAAAAAGAGACACATATGCAATTTGAACAACAAAGTACTGAATCTCTTTACGTATCTAAACATATTTAATTAAAATTGTGTAAGAACGTTTTTTCATTCCAAATTATCACTCTCATGCTGCATTAATATTATATCATCTACAAAAACATTTCATAATAAAAAATTACAGTGGCTTTGTATATTATGTGCGTTGTATTAAGTTGTACGATTATGGAATATATAATAGGTTATCCATTTTTTTAAATGTACATATTTATTTGAGCTCCGTAAATAGTAAATGACTTCATAAAAAATATAGATGCCACACACACAAATGTAACAATTCTTCATAAATATCTTTTAGCATTTTGTTTTGTATATTATATTAATAATTAATAATATAATAATGTGTATTATCTAAACTATTAATGATCTATTAATTTGTTTTATTTAATTATCGTTTTCTTTTTCTTCTTTCCATTGAATTCGTTGCTTTTCTAAGGAAGAAAACATTATATTTATAACATTATAAATTATATATATATACTATTAGATAAAAGCTTGATATATATATGAAAAGAATAATAATGACATTCAAAAATTTAAACTAAAAATTATAGAAGTTTTATTTAAGTGCCAATTACGATAAAAATATAATTTTTCTATATATCAGTAACATATTTATAACATAATATAATATTTTATTTAACATGTAATAAATGTGAGTTTAATATCAATTTTCTAAAACGTTAACTTCTAATTAAGATCATAATAAAAACGATTAATCGGAATTGTTGAGACTGAGAATATGTAACAGTAGTATATAGCAAATTAACATTTGCTGATATAAAGTATGTATATACTACCGTGAGAGACTGAAATTGGAGAATTTCAAGATTCACATAGTGAATATCAGCACATACCAAATATACACAGGTGAAGACCGAATATTTGAGTATATTCTTGTACATTAATATTTTGGAAATACACCAAGCGATCATATGAATCTTGACATTCTCTAATTTCAGTTTTTCATGGTAACATATATACTTAGATAGTTAACAATGATTACTATTCACTTAAATCATACATTAGGACAGTTTTGTATAATAGTTAATAACAAGTACTTATTGAATAAATTGAACTTTCCGCATAATTATCAATTGATGACGTTTACGTAGATAATATTAGGTGATTGTATTATTTCTGTCGTATTTCATTCATAAAAAGATAAAATTGTTTTAAGTCTCTATTAAATGGAAGACTAATATATAAGTGACATAATGGCCAATATATTACAAATTGTATCTATTTTCATTTTATCAAAAAAATACGACAAAAATTATGTTGCAATCTAATAAAAAGATTATTGTCCACAAAGAAATTAAAAATATTTTTTTTTTTGAATTAATATAAATTACTGTTCATAATTTTCAATTCAAAACAATATTTTGTTATCCTTGTTTTTTTCACGATTTTATCTTTTACATATTGTAAATGGTAATGAGAAAAAAAAGCAAGTAATAATATAGTTGGAATGAGGCAATGATGATGCTCCCTATAAAATTAATAATAATTAATATTTTGGCATTACTAATATTAAAATTTTCATAAATTATATTATATATTCGAATGCACATAATTCCGGATATAATTCTATCATAACTTTCAGATTTATTTTTCATTTGAGCGCAATTCTTCGAGCTACAGAAAAAAGATAATAATAATGATATTAATTACATATTGCATTAAAATACATGGAAAATTTTGAAAATTAATATTTTATGAGATTTACCTCTTTTTCTTCATCTACTTCATCCTCCTCATCCTCTTCGTCAGAACCATGAACAGAAGCTGCAGGAGTAGTATGTCTTGAAGATGATGGTGAAGGTGGTTCACTGATTGGTCTTGGATAACTGAATCTGCCTACAGCACCTTCTGCATACTCCGATGCAAGTTCAGGATAAACAGTTGTCAATGCCTTTATTCTAGCTTGACGATAGTACTATAATTATGAATAAAACATGTAGCATTTTATAGTATTCTATAGAGAGAAAGAATCGCAAGAGAATACAAATATTCAATATACTTACAATACCAAGGTTTCTCCAATCAAGAAGATCACTCAATCTCTCAGTACGATTTCTTTGAATGATACGTTGTCTTCGACTAAGTCGAGCAAAATCGAACATATATTGTGCAAGTTGTTGAACACTGTTTTCCAAACTAATATATCTTCGATCTACGATATAAATACCATAACTCATTGGATCAGCTATATGTTCTTGCATAAAACATCCAAATCCAGATAAATTTGTTGTTATGCTAGGAATGCCCATGACAGTACATTCGGCTGGAGTATATCCCCAAGGTTCGTAATAAGATGGAAATACTCCTAAATGACAACCACGAACAAATTCTTCATAATCTAACCCAAACAATGGATTTGTTGAGGATAAAAATTCAGGATGAAATACCATCTGCAAAATGACGATTTAGTTTAGTTATCTTTATTATCTTTATTACCTTTATTATCTTTATGTTAACATTACCTTCACTCTATCATTAACTGTGTTAAAAAGATTACATCTTCTAATAGCATTTAAGACTGGATCATTCCAATCATCTATAACATTATGTGTAGTAATAGGTGGTAATCCATTTCTTTGTAGAGCATACAAACATCTGCAACAAAGTTATTAAATATAATAGTTATTATATATTTATTATATATTTTTTATTTTATTTATTATATATATATATTATATATTATATATTATATATTATAAAGTTAATAAATATAAATATATCAATAATACATATTTATCGTAATATCACATACCGCTTGATTTTTATAATATCATCTTTTAAAAGAAGGTCTTGTGTATCCGGCATACGACCTGACAAACATAATTCGTACATTCTTTTTCCCATTTTGTGCTGTATATCAGTGATTGTATCTCTTAATGCTTTGGTTACCTAATAATAAAAAATAATCATTGAACTTTAAATATTTCCTACAATCTTTATTACTAAGCAATAAGAGTCTTACTTACGGCATGACCACGTAACGATTCTACGTTAAAATTATTAGTTCGCGCTGGAAAAATAAGAAATGCAACTACAGTAACATCTGGTCTTGATGTTTTTAAATAATGATTTAATCTTGCTAAAGCTTCTATAAAAATATCAGCTCCTTTATTTCCAAACTCATAACGGCCTGCGATAAAAAAGTATAAAGTTTTGTCCAAGTCAAAATCATAATGTCTGGAAAAAAATATGTAAAGCATAAAAGTACAAAACAAATATTACAACGTGATTAACGATTAAAATGAATAATATATACCCATAAAAATGACCTCGTACAAATTCGTGTATCTTCTCTTTGCTGACAGCATGTAAATTTTGAAATTCGTGTAGTGCTGCAAACTTTTTAACATTCAATCCATTTGGTGTAATAATATCAGGTTTGCGTTTAAGTAAATGTTCAGCTTCAAATCCTGTAATATCTGATACTGTTGTAAATGTATGTGCTAAATGTGTAGCCGCTCGTTCCATACAATATCTATGATAAATTTGGCGTTTCCCAGCTTCCTCATCTACACTGAACTGCAAATTAAGTAAACATATATTATTCAATTGATTTAATGATGTAAAAATATTATATAAATTACCTTATCTAAATTGTTGTAAAAATCAGTCTTTCCGGCACATAAATATCTTCCAAGGAGTGTAGCATGTGTTGTAAAGACAGTTGCAACATCAACATGTCTTGTTCTTAATGCAATTAATCCAACACCTGCTTGCCACTCATGACAATGTACAACTACTCGAGGTGGAATAACAGAATATTGTTCTGCTACTTTTCTGAAACATTTTAGATGCGATATAAAAAAATAAATCTTAATATAAAAATGACAAACCTATAAAGGATAAGTATATCAACTCATTTGTTTTACCTGAATTCAGAAATAAATTGACAAACTAAATATCCAAGGATTACTGCATCATTTGCTTCAATATCTAAATGAGGAATACCAAGATTGCACGTATTCCACATTTCTTGTTTATATTCATCTAATTTCCATGCTGCACTTCCAATATCAAATAAAATTATTTGAGGATTTCCATCAACTAGCCATGTTCCAGTTACAACCTCAATAAAAGTTTATATATTAAAATAATTGAAATATCCTATAGGATGCAATCATTATACACAAATCTATAGTAATGAACAGTTAAAGCAAGCATCTAGTTAAAGACATTGAAGAATTATTAAAGGAACTATATATTATACGTAAGACAAATCCTTGATTTATATTTGTAATCTTTTTGGTATTTAGCCAAATCATGATTATGCACATACGTGTTTAACTAACACGGTAATAAATGTAACAAATGTATTATATTCAAATCATTGTTAACATACACACACACATATTCTAATAATTTTTCTATTATCTAAAAATTATTTAAAAATATTTAAGTACTTAAAATTTTCTAAAAGTCTACAATTTGTTAACACTTACTTTAAATCCTTGATCACGTAGAATTTGTACAGCTTGATTCAATGGATTATGATGAGGAAAATCTGCCTCTTCGACTTCAGTTCTGGCTGTAAACTCTTTGTATGGTCCAATAAGACAATACTGATCACCCATTTCTTCGGTAGATACATAAGCTTTAGATCTTATCACCGTATAAATGCCACCAACTGAAATATAAAAATATACATAATAATATAATACTAAGAATTATTAAATTTTGTTTGTCTAACAGCATACACTATTGTAAATACCAATATTTATTGTAAATAACCATACCTTTGTTGGCAGCCTCCCACGCAACTTCAAAATACCAACGATTTTCATGTTGAGCCGTATAGCCACGGTCCATAAATTCTAATAAATCATTGGTACTGTCTACACGGTAAAATCTTCTGGAAGCACGTTCTTTAGACATTTTGCTAGTTTATCTTTAATCTACAATTTGAAACGAAATATATGTAACATTTATTTTTAAATTAAATCCTTATTCATCCATTTTCATTCATTTATTTTGACACTTGCATTATCTTAATTGTTTGTAAGAGTTAATTAATAATTTGATTGATCTCTATACCACTTAATTTTTCACTAGTTTACATAAGAGAAAGATTCTTTATTATAATTAAAACATATGAGATTTATTAACAAAAAAATATCAGATTATAAGACACTGTTAAATGCTTTAATTCATAATGAAATAAAATTACAAGACAATGTTTTTAAATCAATTCAAACATTTAATACGTGTGACAGAATATTAATATTATCTAAAATCTAAAAGAAACAAAAATGAAAAGAAAAATAATCTATCCACTGTGTCTTTATTCCTCGATTGTTTTCATTCATCGTAGAATCAAATTCAATAATGAAAGAAATTAATATTTAAAAAAGGAAAAAATAAGAGAAAAGTGTATAAAATAATGTGCATTCGTATGGTATCGGTTAAGTTCAAAGTTCAATGACAATAAACCGTTAATGAAAAATGTTTACCGGTATATAAACACTTGGGAAAACGAAATAAAGATGAATATGGAAGGAATTCAAATAAAAGAATCAACAATACGTTTGAAATTTGTTAGATTTCTTACCGCTCGATCGTCTTTCCTCCTTCGTCGCGAGTGTTGAAAAAAAATCAGTTTTCTATCACTCGCAGCTCAGTCAGATAGACGACGAGCCACAGATTTTCACGCTTGGATTCGTTTGAAGGTCACCACGGACTACGGAAAGGTCACAAGGGCTTGGGACTCTAAGATCGTCGGTACTTTAGGCAGACGAATAGCGACGAATGTAAGATAACATGATCATTTCGGTCTCTTCCTTGACGAATAGATGGCACAAAATCACTCACTAACTTTATTTTACGAACGATTAAATCGTTTTAAACATATTTCGCTCGTTACGAAATTCATTATAGGTATAGTAGAAAATAAGTATCTACGCGAGCTATCTTTGTATTACGATGATGATGATGATCAAGAAAGATGTGACGCTAAACTACGTCCTTGAAAGTTCAAATAACTAATTTTAGCGCCAAATGTTAATCCATTTTTTTTTTCTTTCTTTATCTATTTAGAATGCACATGAGTGTAATATACATATGTATTAATTAATTCATTAATTAAAAGAACAAATGTATGAAAATATCTGTCGAAATTATTTATTTTATTTCTCGTATACTATATTAAATAAATGTATATATAGATACAATTTTTTGTAATTTTTTTTTTTTCTGAATGATTACGTTCGTACATAAACCTCATTTAAATAATATTATATAAATTCCTCATATACGTCAAATTGTGATAAGATATATTTTTTGACTTAAAATGTATGAGATAAAAATAAACTGTTAGATTTCGAAATTATAGTATAAAATAGTTGGTAATTCTCTAACATATATATTTATAATCTGTAATAGGATCTCAAAATAAATCCTATTGTATCTATGCAAATATCATTATAAAATGGAATGATTCGATAAAAAAAAAATGAATATGAAAATAAAAATTTGCATTGGTGTATAATAATTTAATTTATATGTTATAATCATATGCGATATCATGATATTTTCTACATCACAATTGCTTCTCAATAATATTTTAACGATGATAATTTTACAATCTCTTTCATTTTTTTTAATACAAATTTATACTTATTGTATTTTTGTTTAAGCGATATATTTGCTAAATTCTTGAATGAATGATGATATAATGAAAAAATTGATAATACTTGAATATTTCAAATAGTTGTAAGCATTCATTATACTTTCTTGGCTATATTCGATTAAGATTCGCTTTATTTTAAATATTGCCTTATATATTTATACTTTCCATAGATTTTTATTTCCAAAATTCTATTACATTGTATACAATAACTCCAACACTTATTATAAATAAACTATATGATCACCATGCCTTATGTTTAAGCTGATGATTTCTTTTAACATTTCATGACTTACTTTCATACAATATGGACAAGATATTTTCAGCATATTATTCAATATTGACAGCTGTAAACCATTACCCCTTTTCAGTTATATTTATTCTATAAACAATGAAATTTTTATTAAATGTATACGAATCAATTCTAATTCTATCAGTGAAAAATTTTCTTCAGGCTAATATTTATACAATTATAAATCATGTAAATATGATTCTATAGAATTCCCACACACAGATGTATTTAAATTTAAAAGAAGTTAATATTTAAAAGTGATTTAATGATTAAAAATATAAATTTCATAAAAAATAATTCCCCTAATTTACTTTTCCACTTTTTTCATTTGTATTTTATTGTATTCCATTTTATTAATTTGTTAATTTCAGATTTTGTACATTTTCAAGAAAAAGAAAACTGCTTTGAAAAAAATACAATAAATTAAATATATATTTCAAGTTAATTATGTTTCTGTTTATAAGAAATGTACATGTTTCTTTTTAAGTAAAGAATTTATTTTGAGGTTATGATATTTAAATTTGTTTGTTCTATTATAATATTTTTTTGGTGAGTTTTTTTTAATGAATAATCAAATATATTCTACTATATTAATGCATAAATTAAAAAACAAACAATTTATGTAATGTTTTTAAAAATAACTACAATTAATAAATAAAGTTATATAATAATTAAGATAACAAATCGATAAAATTTTTCAAATTTTCTTCCTGTTCTTTTATAAATTTAATTATAATCTTGTGCCCTTTTATTAATAATAAATTGATAATAAATAACAAGTATTTAAATTTTATTTTAGAAAGTAGCGCTATATTCGCAGCAATACTTCACATTAAGTTACCATTCTACGTTTTACATCTTATAAGGAATGCAATTTCGTGTAAAACAACAGTATAAACTTGTATTTACCACGTGTGTAAACGGTTACCATGGCGGTAAGTTATAAATTAATTTATATACATTAATTAATTTTTTTATCTCATAAACTTTACTGTATTTATTTATAAAATTTTAAAGAATTATTACGATATTATATATATAACAGTAACCTCCAAATAATATATGCCAACTAATCTCTTTAAAATGTATTTATTCTTCTAGAATGCAAACTATTGTTTATTAATTTTTCCATAAAATATATTATTTTTATTGTATATTATATTATTTTTCAGTTAGAATGTATTTAGGAAAAATTAATTACATATAGTCATTTAAAGCCGTTGATATAGCAACTATTTGTTTAATCCATATTTGCATGATTTGTAACTTAACTATTATTACACAAATTTTTATTATTATTTATAGACTGTTGCAACGACAAAAGTTCAAGAAGTTCGTGAGATCACAAGAATTGAGCGTATTGGTGCTCATTCTCATATTAGAGGTTTAGGATTAGATGATGTTTTGGAACCTCGCTATGTAAGTTTACTATATTATACTTTTTTCTTTTACTTAACGATCACTTAATAAAAAAACAACTTAATTAAAATTTGATTTAGGTATCTCAAGGTATGGTTGGTCAAACTTCGGCTCGTCGGGCTGCCGGTGTTGTCTTGGAGATGATAAAAGAAGGAAAAATAGCAGGACGGGCTGTTTTATTAGCAGGTCAACCTGGTACTGGTAAGACTGCTATTGCCATGGGATTAGCTCAAGCTTTAGGAATTGATACTCCTTTCACATCCATGGCTGGATCTGAAATTTACTCTTTGGAGATGAGCAAAACAGAAGCTTTGACGCAAGCTATAAGAAAATCGATAGGAGTTAGAATAAAAGAAGAAACTGAAATAATAGAAGGCGAAGTAGTTGAAATTCAAGTTGATAGACCTGCAACTGGTGTTGGTGCTAAAGTTGGAAAATTGACATTAAAGACTACAGAGATGGAAACAATTTATGATTTAGGAAATAAAATGATTGATAGTTTAATGAAAGAAAAAGTACATATGTGTTTTTTAAATATATATATTACTATTTTTTTTCTTTATTTTATTAATATTAGTTTATTGTTTATAGGTACAAGCTGGTGATGTTATCACGATTGATAAAGCAACTGGAAAAATAAATAAATTAGGACGTTCATTTACGAGAGCTCGTGATTATGACGCAACAGGATCACAAACAAGATTTGTACAATGTCCTGAAGGCGAATTACAAAAGCGAAAAGAAGTAGTTCATACTGTCACTTTACACGAAGTCGATGTTATAAATAGTAGAACTCATGGTTTCTTGGCATTGTTTTCTGGTGATACTGGTGAGATTAAATCCGAAGTAAGAGATCAAATAAATGCTAAAGTTGCTGAATGGCGTGAAGAAGGAAAAGCGGAAATAGTACCAGGAGTATTATTTATAGACGAAGTCCATATGTTAGACATTGAATGCTTTTCATTTTTAAATCGTGCATTAGAAAATGAAATGGCCCCAGTTGTTATTATGGCGACAAACAGAGGTAATTTATAAGTTAATCTACACAATCAAGTATACAAATTACTTTTTTATTAATATGAGTGTACTTATTATTGTTAGGAATTACAAGAATTAGGGGAACTACTTATAGAAGTCCTCATGGCATTCCCATTGATTTACTTGATCGAATGATTATTGTTCTTACAACTCCATATCAAGAAAAAGAATTAAAAGAAATTTTGAAAATAAGATGCGAAGAAGAAGATTGCGAAATGGCAGAAGATGCGTTGACTGTGCTTACAAGAATTGCTTTAGAAGCATCTTTGAGATATGCTATACAATTAATCACAACTGCATCTCTTGTTAGTCGACGTAGAAAGAGTACAGAAGTAAGTAAATTTAATTAGATAATAGTATACTTATGAAGGCAATAATATTCATTTTCTTTTTTTGCACTTTTAGGTTAGTATAGATGATGTTAAACGAGTTTATTCTTTATTTCTCGATGAAAATAGATCAACACAATTTCTTAAGGAATATCAAGATGATTTTATGTTTAACGAATTACGTAAGTAATATTAAATAAAAGATTAGTAATATGTTTGTAAGGACGATCAAAATTCATAGCTGTACCTTCAGCAATTTTTAAGGGAATATTACATAATTACAATCTATATCCCTACTTTCCTTCTTGTTTCTTTCAGGACTTCATTTTTTCTTTTTTTCTTATTTTTCCTTTCTGTCATTCTATCTCACTCTTACGTATATTTTCAAATAATCTTTCTATTGTCAAAATAATCTTATAAGCAAAGATCACACAGAACAGAACTGCTTGTTTCTCTTTTATCTGATGAAATCTTCTTTTATTTAAAAATGTTCAAATCAACATGTTCTCTCACTCCTATCGCTTACATAAACATACACATGTACACTGTGAACGCGTATTACACTATGAAGTTTTATATATTAAAGATTTATTTATTGAAAATTATTTAAAAACGTATATTTTGTAAAAATGACCATACGAAAATGTAAATAATCTATTTTCTTTTTCTAGCTGAAGAGCCAATGGAAATTGTGTAAAAGTATGTTGTTACATTTACTTAATAACTAATGATAAAAATTAACATATGTATTAAGATTAAATAAAATTTATTTATAAACCTTTTACTATGTACAAATTTTATAATTTTTATGACTTGTTTCACTTAATTTGCATTTATATAGTTAAGGTTGTCCATGATGTATCTGCAAATAAATGTCATTTAATAAACCGTGACGTAATCCTAACGCGACTCTGACGTGCGAATCAGTGATTTATCTATTTTGCCTATTCAACTTATACTGATAAATATTAGCCCTTCATATATGCTATATTGATAGGACTTATCATTAATCTCAGTAATTCATTACCTTATTGTTATATTAATCAAAATTAATCTAAAATTATCTTGAACTAAAAAACAGTTTTCAAATATTCTAGAAAATCATAATTTGAACAATAATGAGTGAAAAAAATATAGAAGTAACTAGAAGTGATGATAGCATGTCAAATGAAATCTCAATAAAAACACGAATTGATTCATTGATCAATGAGGTAAATTTAATTTTTACCAAGAAAGTATATATAACAACTTTTTTTATATGAA